TGTGATATATGAATGTAATGGAATACTATTGTGCTATAAGAAATGATGAGCAGGTGGACTTCACAAAAACCTGGAAAGACTTGTGTGGTCTGATGCTGAGTGAAGTGAGCAGAACCAAGAGAATGTTGTACACAATAACAGCCACACTGTATGATGACTAATATTGATAAACTTAACCCTTCCCAGCAATACAAGGATCTAAGGAATCTCCAGAGGCCTCGTGATAGAAAATGCTATCCACATCCAAAGAAAGAACTATGGAAGTTGAATTGCTAATTTTTTTCTCTTCTGTTGAATTTTGTTTCCTCTTTCTGATGGTTTCTCCTATTGGTTTTAATTTTTACTTACAACATCACTGATGTGAAAATATGTTTAATAGGAATGTTTATGTAGAGTCTATATCAGATTGTGTGCCGTCTTGGGGAGGGTGGTGGGGAAGAAGGGGGAGAAAAATTTTAAACTCAAAAGCATGTGGAAGTGATTGTTGATAAATCAAAATAAATTAATAAAAAATTAAAAAAAAGAAAAAAAGAGAAAGATTCTTTGTCCTCTGGTTAAGAAATCTGGGCAGCTGTATTTCACAGTTTCTTGAAAGACGATGTGCAGGCTCTTTTTCCAGTAATGGCTTTCAGACAGTCCAGTCGAACTTCTCCCCGATTCGTTTCCCAGGTCAGCGGTTTGTGCTGTGAGACACCTCCCACCTTCTTCTATTTGTTCAGTCTTCTGACTTTCCTCTTGGAGCCACTGGCTTCTCTTTGGTACAGCCTAATGGCCAGGGAGCCTGTTGCCTGGGCAGGTTTGGTGCCTTTGGTGCCAAACTTTCCAGTTCTTTCTTCCAAAGATTGCCTTGCTTTTCCAAGTTTTTCCCTCTCATGCTCTCATTCCACTTACAAATACGTTTTTAACCTTTTTACACATTCTCACTCCATCTCTTTGTGGAATCCTGGCTGACCATTGACCCACGCTGCGTTCTTCTCGGAGGCTCTGCTCATGCACGGTCTGCCGTTGTTGTCTTCTCCTGGGTCTATGTTGTGCATGTCTCTGTCACCATCGCAGCTCTTTATGGTGGGGTTCTCTTTTTCTTTGTTCATTCTTCCAACCCATCTTCTGCCTTCAGGCTTGAGGTTCTGGCTGGCCTCTACACATCTGAAGTCTGGGCTGGCCTGCTGCTGCTTTCTTGGGGTATTGAGGGTTGTGTTATTTCAGGCTCTTAGGGACCTTTGAGCTTTAAGGGCTATCACAGGGATCAAATCCGGTGCACCATGTGACCTGTGACCCCTGGTCTGAGCGACAGCAGGCTGCTGCTGGACGCAGCCTGCAGGCTGGGGTACAGGCTGGGACTGAGATCCCGCTGGGCTCCTGCTGGCTTTGCTCAGGGGTGGAGGCCCTCTCCTTGGGCTGACCTGGTTGAGTCTGGGTGAGCCGGGGGCCAGAGTCCATGAGACCTCAGCCTGAGTCTGGGGCCCCCTCTTGCCTTAGTACACGGTCACCCCCTGGGGCCTGGAGCACCCTCCGTCCCCCACATCTCAGACCACTCTGTCTTTTCTATGCTGAGCTGGGCTGCAGAAATGATTCCTGGCTTCGATCCGGTGTTTGGAGGAGCTCTGGAGGAGGGAGTTCAGCACAAAAAGGGAATGTCCCAACACCTGAAGCTTCAGCATCTGCCTGTAGCTCCTGGCACAGCCAGAAACATTCCTGACCTTTGGCCAAACAAAGCACCGAATGACTTGAGTATTCCCGGCTCTCTTTCCCTCCAGGGAATTAGAGGCAGGGTGGTGCAGTGAGCTTGGGTGACCTTGGGCAACTTACAATCGTCTCTCTGTGCCTCAGTTTCCTTATCAGTGTACTGAGGGTGTTGGAAGAGATGGCCCTCAATGTCCTGTCTAGTTCCAAATCAACAACCCCATGACGTGACTTATGCATTTTTACCTACTTGATAACTCAATTTCTCTTTTAATAAAAATGAAAATGAAGATATGGATTGCAAATGCCAGTTATAACCCTGGTTTAGTGGCTGGTGCTTCTGACAAAAACCACTATATGGAGAACGGTTTCAATCTCCCAGCTCTCTGTTAAGGCAGTTATAGGTAAAGAGGGTTAGACCACGCCTGGAAGAACTGAATTGTCACCTGCCTCCTTCGAGGGGGCCAACGGGAGCGAAAAAAGGAGGAAATTCTAGGCTCCGACTACAACTACAGGGGCACGCGTTCCTTTGACTCCATTCAGTAAGAAGCACGTACCAGGGAAAGAAGCTGCCGGCCGCGGGCTCCCCTTCTTCCCCTCGCCCCCTCCACCCCAACTCCCAGGAAGACACAGCCTCATCCCGTGGCCTGCTCAGAAGATCCCCTTCCATCCTGCCTCCTCCAGCAGACCCCCCACCTCCGCCCTGCCGTGTCATTCCCCTGTCTATGGCTCCTTCCCTTCTGCCTGCAGACATGCCCAGTCTCCCCAGCCTCAAAACCCCCTCACCTGACCCTTCCATCTCTGCTAACGCTCGTCCTTCTGCCTTTGGGGCTAAATCCCCGAAGGCTGTGGATGACTGATGCCTCCACTCCCTCTCCTCTCACTCTCTGCTTAAACCCTCACCAGCCAGATCCCACAATATCATTTGTATGTGGTTGTTTGCATGCTGTCTCCTCCCCCGTCAGAATGTAAACTCCTTGAGCACAGGAACTGTCTTTTGGCTCTTTTTGTATCCTCAGTGCTTAGCACAGCACCTGGCACACAGTAGGCACTTAATAAATGTTGACTGATTTGACTGATACCTGAAGAGAAAATCAGAAAATCTTGGCTGAGCAGGAAGGAGCCGGGCCAGTCTCCAGTCTGGTGCCTCCTGCCTGGCTACTCTTCCTTCCTCATCTGCATCCCTAGCCTGGCACCTGTGGTTGGCTGGGGCAGCAGGCTCTGAGACCACAGAGGAAATGCACTGGATAAAGCATTAAAACGAAGGAAGAAAATGCCATGAGAAAGCCTGCTTTCCCCAAAATCAGCCTTTTGGCCTGAAGTTTTCCATACTCGCTTTAAAAACCAAAGGTAATTTTTTTTTGCAATGCTTGACAAAAACATTAGTTTTTGCATTATGAGAGGATGCTAGCCCACACAGTGTTTCCATTTTAAATGCAATTTAAGGAATTGTTTTATAAGCAGATAACTCAAAAAAAGTGGTTTAAATTTAGAAGGTGAAACTTTCTTTGTGTCTAGTTCTCAGCAAGATAATCTCCTGAGTCATTCTGAACACACACACACACACACACACACACAGTCACACTCACACACACACTCACACAAACTCACACACACACACACACACACACACACACACGCTTTAAATGAAGGCCTCCCTCTGATGGAGAAGGAAGTCGGCCAGGCAAAGAGTTCCTCCAAGGCCAGCCCTGTGTGCCCTATTTCTGGTGGAAGGGAAAGCCTGAAGGAACCCTCACATTCTGCCAACAGTTTGGGAGATGGTCCTGGCCCCGCTACAGACCTTTGCTTGTTGGCATTCTTGCGGGGGCGATTGGTGAGCAAAATGGAAACTGGTAAGGAGTGATTAAAAAACCGCCTTTGGGGCAGCTAGGTGGCGCAGTGGTTACAGAACCGGCCCTGGACTCAGGAGGACCTGAGTTCAAATTCGGCCTCAGACACATAACACTTACGAGCTGTGTGACCCTGGGCAAGTCACTAACCCCACTGCCTAGCCAAAAACAAAACAAAACAAAACAAAACAAAACCACCTTCACTTAAGCTGGCTCACAACAGATGCGTCAGAACTTCTAGAAATTCCTGGTGGACATTTACAGAGCCCTCTGGAGATCCCAAAGCACTTGGCCGTAAGACCTCAGGCCGTGTCTCACAACTGTCAGAGGGGGCACTATGGGGACATCACCCTTTCCCTCAGGCTCAGGAGAAACCCTTGATTTCTGACAATCTTCACTTTCCACAACCCCTGAAACCTACAGCACCCTGGATACTTTCTTCCGCTTTGTGGACGTGAGGAATCGTTAATGCCATACTTGGGGGTGACTGCCAGTGGCTGCCGACATTCTGGCACCAAGTTCACCTCACTGACCTTGCTCGCCCAGGCTGTGTGCTAGCTCTGGGGGCACAATGTGCTACACGGCCTTGAGTTTTAAAGGCCAACAATGGAAATGTGCAGTGAGTGCGTGGAGAACTCTCCAGTGATAGGCGAACAAGCCCAGGGAGCACCTAGCGGGAAGCAGTGCATGGCGAGTAGCTGCGGATATGTGAGGCTGGCAACATGAAGGTGAAAATGAGGCCACATTTAAAGGCGGGAATGCTGAAGCCCGCCGGCACCTGGTCATCCATGTGTTCTCTCCTCCCTACACCCGCCACTCGGGACAACACTGACCCCAGGGCCCTCGAGGCCAACCCTCCCGGCTTCCTCCACTGTTCCCCTGTGGCCCCAACCCCTCTCTCCGGAGAGGAAGCTCCTTGCTCCACAGATGCGGTCAGCTGCCAAGCCGTGTCACACCACTTTCCCAGGCTGGCCAAATGGGCCTCCTCTTGGGCCCTCGCGGACGACTGGGCAGTGGGAAGCCCCTCCTGTTCCCCACAACAGCTCAGGCACACCCCCACCCCCAGCTGCATGTGGACACTAGTTACTGACCGCAGATAGGTACGGACAGATGGTATCTGTCCTTGTTGTGACTCCCGTGAGAGGGGGCACTTATTCTTTGGACTCTGTTCCCAGGGGCCAGCGCAGCGGCTGGACCGAGGGGGGAAACAAAGCACCGTGGGCCAGCTGAGGTTTCTCCAGATCCGTGCCTGGGCTAACCTTCAGAGCCACACAACCCTCCCAGTGTCGGCTTCCTGAGGCACAAAACACTGGGCTTGAAGCCAGGAGACCTGTGTTCAGACCCCACCTCTGACACCCGTCAGCCTAGAGTGCCCTGCGTCCTCACCCGGCGGGTGCTGACCGTGAGGAGACTCTGGGACACTCGTAAAGGCCAATCGCGACTGCCAGACCCGGGCGGTCTACCCACCGGAAGCTGAGGGGCTCTCTTCATCATCTCCAGCAGAACATAGCTGCCCACCGAGTGGCTGATGAGCACCAGCTTCAGCGATGCCGGCACGCGCCTTCTCAGGAAGGCGAGCTTGTGCTCTACCTGGCCCTCGAGGCCAAAGGCATCATCCAGTTTTCTCGGGCTTGGATCTGAGGAGGGAACACACAGAAAAGGGCTTGTGGGGGTGGCTTTGGAGGGAGTGCCCCTTCACCAACTCCAAGCCACACTGGAGAGAGACCGCAAATCCTGGGGCCGGGAGACGGAGTTAAACTGTGTGTGCGTTGTGTGCATGTGAGCTCTCACCAGTGCCACTGGACACCGCCCTGCCACAGCGGTGCTGGGGAGGGGCGGCACCGCTGCCATCCCTGCCCAGCCATAAGAGTCTGCACCCTCCCTTCTCCTGTGGTCAAACGTAAAAGTCTGTTTGGCAGGTGAAGCCCCCACCAGCCTCCCCACTCTTCCGCCTCCGGCGGAGGCTCCCAGGCGGGCGGGAGCTTTATGGACCCTTATCTCAGCCTGGCTCAGCGCCGGGAGCACTAAGTCCTTCCCCCCTCCATGACCTGCACAGTCCAGCCACATTGGCCCAATCGCTGCTCCTCACGGAGGATGGGGCCATCTCCCACGTCTGCAGCCCAGAACACCCCCCCTTGGGCTGCAGGGGGTGCTGCTCAGGCACAGAAGCTGTGGCAGTCCCCCCCTGCTTCCCCCAGCTCCGCTCCCCCAGGCCGGGCTCCCAGAACACCTCTGGTTGGTTCTGCCTCAGAACTAAGGCCTGGCGGTCACCTTTCGGGAAGTTTTGGCTCCCCCAAAGTGACTCACTGTCCTTCTTAATGCGCCGCCCTCCTCAGGAAGCCTCTACCTGGGTCATGTGTGGCCCCCAGCCTATCCTACCTCATTCATCTCATCTTCCCGTTGGGCTGGATGCTGGACGCTACTGGAGGACAAGCGCTGTCTCTGACTTTTTTCTGTCATAGACAGCGTCTAACTCAATTCCATTCAATTCTGCACCTCCGAGGACCCGGGCACTATATTCAGTACTGGGGAATAGAGGAAAGCAGAGTCTGTGCTCTCCAGGACACTACATTACATTGGAGGAGGGAGGGGGGAATGACACGCACACAGACCGTGTCATTTCGAGAAGGAGCGCATGCACAGAACGGGAGTGTGAAGACAGCTCCTGTAGGAGGCCGCCCCCATGGAAGTCAGGGGCTCAGGACGTCGCCCAGGGCTGGGGGATCACCTCTGCCAAGAAGGGCATGCCAGGAACGAACAGCGGGATTCAAACGAAGCCTCTGCTCAGCCCAAGTTCAAAGCCCCATTCGCTATAATCAACATAAGCCCATGCATGACTCTGTTACTCCCCTTCTCAAGAAACTCCAGTGGCTCCCTATCACTTCTAGGATCAAACAGAAAATCTTCTGTCTGGGGTTCCAAGCCCTTCATAACCTGTCCCTTCCCCACGTTTCCACCCCAGGGACTCCTCGATCCAGTGACGCTGGCCCCTTCGCTGTTCCTGCACTTCCGACCCCGGGCATTTTCTCTGGCTGCTTTTATGGCTAGAACACTCTCCTTCCTCACCTCTGCCCCTGGCTTTCCTGGCTTCCTTCAAGTCTCAGATAAAATCCCACCTTCTCCAGGAAGCCTTCCCAATCTCTTTCAGTGACGGTGCCTTCCCTCTGTTGATTATTTCCACGGTATCCTTTATGTAGCTTGTTTGTACATAGCTGTCTGAATACTCTATAAGTTCCTTGATAACAGGGACTATCTTCTGCCTTTCTTTGTATCCCCAGTGTTTAGCACAGTGCCTGACACATAGTAGGTACTTAATAAATGTTTAATGCCTGACAAAGAATGTCACAATCCCTTTTCTTAGACAAGACACTGCTGCCACCCTACAGTTACCAAAGTACTCTAGCTAGGCAAGTGAGTTTTACAGCCCAGATGGATTTGCTAATGCATCAAAGCTCACTTAATCTCACCAGGAGTGTGTGGGGCTCATGCCCTCAGGTGGAACTGCTGTGCTTGCAGTACCAAGCTAGCAGGCAGAGGGCCTCCAAGGCAAAGAGCTAATGCTATTTCTTTTGTCTTCCTACAAAGACATCTAAAAACAAGTAAATGAGAAGCCTCCTCATGAATGTTAACGTTCCTATCACTACCTATTATTCAACCAAAGGAATCCAAGGAGTTGCTAATATGTCCTGTTAGCAATGTGATGAAAGCAACTTTATGAAGCCAATAGCACTCAGAGGGAGGCAGAAGAGGACAAAGGAGCCCTACCAGACCCCAATGATCTCAAATGTCAAAGGTCCTCTAATAAAGCCAGTAAGCTCAAGTGTGCTCAGAAATCACAGCCACAATTCTCAGAGGGAAGCGGAGGTTTGTGACCAAGGCCCCAAGCTACACTGCTCACGCCTAAGAGGTAGGGGAAGGAGCACTGGACCGAGGATCAAAAAGCCTCGGTTCAAGTTCTGGCTAAGCCACCTAAGAACCTTGTAACTGTGGACAAATCGTATATAACCTGTCTGAGCTTCAATGGCCTCATCTCTAAGATGGCGTTAATCACTTTGCTGTGACTTACCTCATGTGGCCATTAGAAAGAATGAGTAAACTGTAAACTGATATGAAAACTATCATGGTTAGCATCATTCTTTTTTTTTTAATTAAGAAATTTATTTATTTACTTTTGGTTTTCAACATTCACTTTCATAAGATTTTGTGTTCTAAATGTCCCCCCTCCCCAAGATGGCTTGCAATCCAATATAGGCTATACATGTATGATCATATTAAACATATTTCCATATTAGTCATGTTGTGAAAGAATAATCAGAAGAAAAGGGAAAAACCACAAGAAAGAAAAACAAAAAAGAGAGAAAATAGTCTGCTTTGATCTGCATTGAGACTCCATAGCTCTTTCTCTGGATGTGGATGGAACTTTTCATCATGAGTCTTTAGGAAGTGTCTCAGATCACTGCATTGCTCAGAAAAGCTAAGTATAACAAAGTCAGTCATCACACAATATTGATGTTACTGTGTACAATGTTCTCCTGGTTCTGCTTACTTCACTCAGCACAATTTCATGCAAGTCTTTCCAGGTTTTTCTGAAATCCACCTACTCACCATTTCTTATGGAACAATAGTATCCCATTATATTCAGATAACACAAATTGTTCAGCCATTCCCTGATGGTCATCCCCTCAATTTCCAATTCTTTGTCACCACACAAAGGGCTGCTATAAATATTTTTGTACATGTGGATCCTTTCTCCTTTTTTACGATCTCTTTGGAATATAGCTCTAGTAGTGAGTGGTATTGCTGGATCAAAGGGATCGTCGTTCAATAGCCTTTTGGGCATAGTTCCAAATTGTTCTCCAGAATGGTTGGATCAGTTCACAACTCCACTAATGGATTAGTGTTCCAATTTTCCCACATCTTCTCCAACATTTATCGTTTTCCTGTTTGGTCATATTAGCCAATCTGATAGGTATGATGTGGTACCTCGGAGCTGTTGCGATTTGCATTTCTCTTAAGTATAAGGAACTCAACAACATTAAATTGTTTACTTCTTATACGTGAAAATATTATCAGTACTTCTATGACTGTCATCATTATATGAGTAGTTTGAAAGAAAGGCTTGGGCTGAGCTGAGTATGATAGATGATTCTAAAAAAAATTAAAACTCTGCAGGGAGAGATAAAAAGGAGCAATTATCTCCTACAAATGAGGCACAAAAGGAAAAATTCATACAGAAGAAGCTAGTGGGGGAAGACGGGTAGTGCTGAAACCTTACTCTCATCAGGAATGGGTTAAAGAGGGAACAACACATATATCTAGAAGGGTATAAAAGTCTTTTAAATTCAGAAAGAAATAAGAGGGCAAGGGGATAGGATGGGGGGGAGAGGATGAGAGGGATTCTTGGACGGGTAAATAGGTTAAGGACAGGAGGGCAAGGTAGTGGGTAGAAATAAAGCAGAGGAGTGAGGAGAGATAGGAACAGGGCAAGAAAGATAGTGAGGAAAAATAGGAAGAATAAAAAAATACAACAAGTAATTATAGCTTCGAATGTGAATGGGATTAATTTACCCATAAATGGAAACTGATAGCTGATTAAAAATTTGAATTCAACAATATCTTGCTTTCAGGAAATGATATAAAAATGAGAGATACACACAAATATAAAATAAAGGCCAGAAGTGGAATTTACTATGTAAAAAAAGCAGGAGTAGTAATCATGATCTCAGACAAAGTTAAAGCTAAAATAGATTTAATCAAAAGAGAAAAACAGGGAAACTACACTCTGTGTCAGCCATATTATCCAATACTGTTTTAGACCATTTAAAATAACTAGAGTGTACAAAATACCTGAGAATATATATCTGCCAAAAAGACGTAGGAACTGTACGAACATAAATATAAAACACTTTTTACACAAATAAAGTTAGATCTAAATAACTGAAGTAATATTTATTGATCATGGGTAAGTAAAGCCAAAATAATTTTTTTAAATGACAATTTTACCTAACTAATCTATTTATGTAATGTCATCCTAATTAAATTACTAAAAAAATTATCTTACTGAGTTAGAAAAAATAATAAAGTTCATTTGGAAGAACAAAAGGTCAAGAACTTCAAAGAAACAGAAAAAAATTGCAAAGGAAGCAGATTCAGTGGTATCAGACCTTAAACTATATGATAAGGTGAGGGCATTGTTGAAGTGTAAAATGGATAATTTTGATTATTTTAAATAAAAGTTTTCTTGTATAAATAAAACCTACACAGCCAAGAATAGAAAGAATGCAGAAAATTGGTAAAAACCTTTCAAAGGCAATCTCTCAGATGGAATATAATTGGGTCGGAATATTGCTGTGGTATAGGAAATGATGAGCTGGTTGATTCAGAAAAACATGGAAAGACTCAGACTTAAGAAGATGCTATTCACCTCCAGAGAAAGAGATGACAAGGGGAAATATGCATAGTATGGTCTAACATATATGTGTATGACTGTATATGTGTATATATGTGTATGTTTATAGATATCTATGGATATGTATGTATATGCATATCCATAGATATAGACATATCTATAGAGAGATATCTGTGCTTAATTGTAGCCTTCTTTCGGGGGGAAGGAAGGGGAGAAATAAAATAAAAAGTGCACAGCAGAGAACAAAAGAAAACTTACAAGGAAACAAAGAAAAGTTGGGTAGCTTGGAAAATATTGTGTAGTATTCATTATATAGGTTTTCTCAAAACAGAAATTTATTGTTTTATACTGAAGCATCTCATGTTCTGCTATGTACATGGCAATGGTTTTTTTTTCCTTTCTTCTCTTATTTTCTATTTAAGTTTAAAATAAATTTTTGAAACTTAAAAAAAAACAACAACGTGCTATCCAGTTCCAGATAAAGAGCTGATGGTCTCAGTGTGCAGATCACACAAGGAAAAGTAGCCATGGCAGGATCTAGATTTCCCCCTAGGTCCCATGTCAGGGCTCTTTTCACTTTCCCCTATGACCATCCATAAAACCAATATTGCTGTCTGACAAATGAAAGGATAAAATAAAATGAAAAAACATGTTTTTAAAGTCTGTTATCCCCATCATTTCTCACTAAACCCTTTGTAAAGTGGAGAAGCTGCAAGGATTTGAATTCTGCGCTGATTTTTCATTATTAGCTAAGGGTTTTGTCAGCTGTATAAAATGAACTCCAACATCCAGGAAGCAAGAAGATGTATTTCTAAAATTCTTTTCCAGAAAGCAGAAGGACAGCAAACAACTATTTCATTAATAAAGTTGTGGTTACAGAGAATAAAATAAAATAAAATAACTGCAGACAATATAAAATAGTTGGGAGTCTACCTGCCCAGACAAACTAGGGACTATATGAACAGAATTATGCAAATAAAGACAGGTCTAAAATAACTAGAGAAATATTCACTACTCATGGGTAGGCTGAGCCAATATAATAAAAATGACATTTCTACCTAAATTAATTTGCTTATTCAGTACCACACCAATCAAACTGCCAAAGAATTATTTTATAGGGCTAGAAAAAAACAATAATAACAAAATTCATCTGGAAGAACAAAGGTCAAGAATATCAAAGGAATCAATAGCAAAAACGTGAAGGAAGGCGGCCTAGCAGTACCATAGGTCAAACTGTATTAGAGAGCCACCATCACCGAAACCATCTGGTATTGGCTAAGAAATCGAGTAGTGGACAGTGGGGCTACATTAGGTACACAAGACGCAGTAGTGAATGACCACGGTAAGGGTAAGAACTCAACATAGGACAAACATTACTAGGAAAATTGGAAAGCAGTTTGGCATAAACGAGGTGTAGACCAACATCTCTTGCCATATACCAAGTGGGAGAAGTGATTATTAATAACCATTATCTTGAGGAGATTCAAAACTCTCCCCTTCTTCCAAAGTCCTGATTTTAAAAAGTTCAGTCTCTTGAAAGGCATTACCAATAATGAGACTGAATTAACTCTCCTCAGTCTTGGTGAGACCTGCCCAACCTTACAAGGAATTTAATCTAAGGTGGACAAATCCATTATGTTCTCCTCAAGCTTGGGTGGAGACAGATCATTCTGTCTGGACAGCCCAAGGCTGCAGGAGGTTTGAGCATAGAGATAATTTCTCTGTCCCAGGGTGACATGAGATCAACCTCAGCCCCTCATTGAAAAGGGCATGTTAACCATGAGTACCACTACCACAATTGTCTTTGGTCTAAGAGAGCAGGCCAAATGACCATCCTTTTATTAATAACCTGCTGACCTTATTAATAAAATGATCAAATTATCCAGAAACTATGTCTCTCAAACCTTTTTAAAAGTCACACAAGATAAGGTCAAAATGGGTACATGATTTACACATAAAGGGTGATTCTATAAGCAAATTAGGAGAACAAGGAATAGTTTATCTGTCAGATCTATGGATAAGGGAAGAATTTAGTACAAATAAGATGCAGAGAACATTATAAGACACAAAATGGATAATTCTGATTACATAAAACTAAAACATGTTTGCACAAATAAAACCAATGCAGCCAAAATTAGAAGGAAAAAACTGGGGAAAAATTTTTATAGCAAGTATCTCTGATAAGGGATATATCTAAAATATATAGAGAATTGAGAATTGATATAGGATATATCTCAAATATATGGAGAACTGAGTCAAATTTATAAAAAATACAAATCATTCCTCAATGGATATGAATGGGCAGTTTTCCATCAAAGAAATCAAAGCTACCTATAGTCATACAAAAAAATGCTCTAAATCACAACTGATTAGAGAAATGCAAATGAAAACAACTCTGAGATATCACCTCACACCTATCAGATTGGCTAATGTGACAAAAAAGAAAAAGACAAATGTTGAAGGAGATGTGGGAAAACTGGGACACTAATGTACTGCTGGTGGAGTTGTAAACTGATCCAACCATTCTGGAGAGCAATTTGGACCTATGCCCAAAGGGCAACCCTTTGACCCAGCAATAATACTGCTAGGTCTATATCCCAAAGAGATCATAAAAAAAGAGAAACGAACCTATTTTGTACAAAATATTTAGAGCAGATCTTTTTGTGGTGGCTAAGAATTGGAAATTGAAGGGATGCCAGGAAATTGAGGAATGGCTAAACAAGCTGTGGTATGTGATTGTGATGGAATATCGCTGTGCTAAAAGAAATGACGAGTAGGTGGATTTCAGAAAAACCTTGAAAGACTTACGTGAACTGAGGCAAAGTGAAGGGAGCAGAACCAGGAGACCACCGTACACCGTAACAGCAATGTTATACAAAGATCAGCTGTGAAGGACTTGGCCTTCTCTGATTAAGTCAACGATCCAAGATCATTCCAAAGGATTCATGATGAAAAATGCTATGCACTTCCAGAAAGAAAACTGACAGATTGGAGTGCTGATTGAAACAGACTTTTTTCACTTTCTCTGTTTCTTATTTTTTATTTATTTATTTACACAGCATGGCTAATATGGAAATATTCTGGATGACCTCACATATATAATGGATTATCAGATTGTTTGGCTTCTCAACGGGTGGAAGAATTTGGAACTCAAAATTTTTTTAAAATGAATATTAAAAATAAGTAAATTAAAAAAAAAATTTAAAAAGCTTTTTCATCTGGCTTACAGCTGAAATCTCCCCTCTCCCATAGAGTGGGTGCTCCTGGACAGCACACATGGCCTCTATTTCTGTATTTTTCATTATTCATTCATTCATTGATAATGAGATCCACTTCTACCTGAGTATCTGAGCTACCACAAAAACGCTCCTATAAGTATTTCTGTGTATAGTGGGCCTTTCCCTCCTCTTTACCTCTTTGGGGTATAGGCCCTGAGGTGGTCCCTCTGACGTACACTTGGGTGATTTTTGGGGTACAGGGGCCAATTGCTTTGGACAATAGTTCCATGAATTCTCAGCTTCCCCAAAGGTGCACAGGACGGGGATCAGGTGAAACTTTCTCCTTAGACTTTTTTGCAGGTCATTGTTATTAGCTTGTATTTCTTCTCTTGAAAACTGCCTGTCGGGGCAGCTAGGTGGCACAGTGGATAGAGCACTGGCCCTGAAGTCAGGAGGACCTGAGTTCAAATCCGGCCTCAGACCAAACACTTGTCATGTACTAGCTGTGTGACCTTGAGCAAGTCACTTAACCCTGATTGCCTCACCAAAAAAAAAAAAAATTAAAAAAAAAATGGGGCAGCTAGGTGGTGCAGTGGATAGAGCACCAGCCCTGAGTTCAAAGCCAGCCCCAGACCAAACACTTGACACGTACTAGCTGTGTGATCTTGGGCAAGTCATTTAACCCCGATTGCCTCACTAAAAAAAAAACCAAAAAAAAAAACTGCCTGTCTACACTCTCTGACCACTTGCTTGCTGGCAAATAGCTCAGGGTTTCATCTATCTGTGCTAATTCCCTAAACGTCTTGGGTATCAGGTCTTTAGAGAAATCTGCTAACCACTCCTCTCCGAATTCCATGCCCTGATGTGACAAAGAGCCTGGCAATTCCAAGGGGTGGACACACCCAGCCTTCACTAAGGCACCTCCTCCATGAGGCAGCGGTCAGGGCTGGACCTCAGCAGAGGAGGCCGCTCACCACGGACACCGCTGGCCTGACATGCACCTTTCCCTTACCTTCGGGGCCTTCCTCGTCCACCTTGACACCACGCGGGGCTGAAACATGGCCAGCATGGCTTATGACCCACACTGGGTAGCGCTTCTGCAGGTTAAGGTATAAAGCCGTCACAAACCCCGCGTAGAAGGCAGGAATCCCCGGGTTACCTGCAAAAATGAAGGCATAGTCATTGATATTGGGGGGACCACCAGCAGTGACAAAAGCAAGGCAGGGGACAGAAGGACTGAACATCCAATGGCACTGATCCTTTCCCAGAGAGCAATTTAACGGGGGTGCAGGGTCATAAAAATGCAGACACAAGGCAACCATCAGGAGAAAAAGAGAAAGCTGGTCCTAATACACTTTGTGAAAGGCTCTGCCAAACCCGAGCCCAGGATTCCTCACGCCCTCGAGCAGCTTGTGACGCCTGGTCCACTTCCCACAGAGGCCTCCCGGCCCCTCCCCTCGCTCCCCACAATGACCATTGCCAAGCCTGTCTGCTCTCAAGCACAAGACCTGGCTTCCTGTAAACGAGAAAGCTTAGGAGTATCACTGAGCCAAAGGCTTGACAGTTGAGTAACTTTGGGGCTTTCCAAAATGGCTGCACTGATTCAGAGCTCCAACCAAAGTCCACTGGAACATCCATCCTCCCATAACCCCTTAAATAACGGCTATTTTCCTCTTTCGTCATCTTGGCCAATCTGATGGTTGGGAGGGAGGCTTTTCAGAAAGGATTCATCTGGCGGTGAACAGCCTGGATTTCTTCCTTTGATCAGTTCTTATACTTACAAATTTGAATTACTTCCTTATATGTCTTAGATATGAGACCTTAGGAGAGAAACTTGCTACAAAGACTTTTCCCAAGTTAAATGTTTCCTTTCTAATTTCATCTTCATCGATTTTGTTTATGTAAAAGCTTTTCAATTTTACGTAATCACAAGTCTTCACTTTATCTCGTGTGATTACCTCTGTCTTTTGGTCATGACTCTTCCTCGTATCCATACACACAAAAATTGTCTCTTTCCTTACTCTTCTTTATTATATGATGTGACCTTTTATATCCAAGACGCGTATCCACTGGCCACAAAATCTATTGTAGTATATGGTATGAGCTGTTGCTCTAAACATAATTTCTACCAGTCTGCTTTCTAGTTTTCCAAGTAGTTTGTGTGGAACAGTGAGTCCATGCCCCAGTAGCTGGGGTTTACAGGTTCACCAAACCCTATGCCCTGTTTATGCCCTTCCTGACTTTTTCAGCAGATCAACCCCTCAATAATGAATTCTTGAGACTTCTTCTCTCATGGGCTGGTCTTCTACTTGTCACTCTCCAGATTCTCCCACCTCCACTGCCAGTAGGCCCATGGAAATGCCTCTCTCCTGACTGGATGGTCTCTGGCTTGGACTATGAGGCTTCACTCCTCACCAGCAGCACTGCCTTCAGGAATTTACCCCCTTCTCCCCACCCCAGGCTCCCCTTTGATTTGCTGTTTGGCCCTCATTAAAATGTCAGCTCAACATGTACTAGCTGTGTGACCTTGGGCAAGTCACTTAACCCCGATTGCCTCACCAAAAAAAGAAAAGAAAGAAAGAAAGAAAAAAAACGTCAGCTCGTTGAGGGCAGAAATTGTCTTTTTTGCTTGTCTTTTTATCCCTGGCTCTTCGCACAGAGAAGATGCTTAATAAATGCTCTAGTTATCCAATCAAGCCTAACTTTAAATCTCTCCCTAGCTACTGGATCCTTTCCTATAGCCCACAAACACACTCTGGTCTCCTGTGTCCACATAGCCACCCCCTAATTTAGAGAGTGGGCATCTCTAATCTGCACTACTGTAACAGCCCACTAACTGGCCACCAGTCTCTCCACTTCCCAATCCATTTTCCATACAGATGGTGCCAAGGATAACAACCCGGCACTGACCTGCTCCAGGAGCCCCAGGGACCCTTCCTGTCAATAAGATAGAAAACAAACTCTTCTGTAGGATATTCACAGCCCTTCACAAGTTGGTCAGTCTGATTTCATATTCTCCCCTTCCTATACGTCATGCCAAGTCGGACGGGCCTTTCTTCTTGTTCCTGGACGGGACGTGACACCCAATCTCCCACCTCCACACCTCTGCACAGGCTCTCCCACACGTCTGGAGTGCACTCCCTTCTCAGCTCTGCCTCTCGGTATTAGCTAAACCCCTCGGGAAGTCTGTGCACAGTCAGCGCCTCCACTTTTCCTCACTTTTCCTAATCCCTTCTGCTCTGGCTTCCAGTCTCAACATTCCACCCAAACTGCTCTCCCCAAAGTCACCAGTGATCTTTTAGTTGCCAAATCCAATGGCCTTTCCCCAACCCTCATTCTCCTAGACCGAGGACACTCCTGACCACTCCTCCTTGATACTCTCTTCTCTTTTGGGACACCATCTCATTGGCTCTCCTACCCATATGACCCCTTCTGTCTCCTGTGCTGGACCTTTATCTAGGTCATGTCTACTAAGTGTATGTGTCCCAAAGGGTTCCATCCTGTCCCTCTTTTCTTCTCCCCCTAGACCAATGCCCTGGGGGATCTCATCAGCTCCCTTTGATTTAATGGCCATCTCTATGCTGATGATTCTCAGAGTGACCCTCTGCCGACCTCCAATCTTGCATCTCCAACTACCTTTCAGACATCTCAAATGAGATGTCCAGTAAACATCTTAAATGTGTTCATCAAGTTCAAAGTGGAACTCACTATCTTTCCCCCTAAACCCTCCCCTCCTCCACCTTCTCTGTTACTGTAGAGGCCAACACTGTTCTCCGAGGCCCCCGGGTTCACAATCTAGGAGTCACCCTGGACTCCTCCCTCTCTCTCTCACCCTCCGCCCCCATCCAATATGGCGACAAGGTCTTTTGATTTCACCTCGGCAACATCTCTCCTACACGCCCCCCTCTCCTCTGACCCTGCCCCCACCCTGGTGCAGACCCTCGTCGTCTCCTGCCTGGACTATTACAATAGCTGCTGGGGAGGGGGGAGGTCTGCCTGCCTCAGATCTCTCCCCACTCCAGTCCATCCTCCATTCAGTCACTAAAGTGATTTTCCTACAGCACATGTGTTACCATGTCACCCCTAGTCAACCAACTCCAGGGGCTCCCTGTCACCCTCAGGAGCAAATACAGAATGCTCTGTGTGGCATTTAAAGTCCTTCCTCTCCAGTCTTCTTATACCTTACCACCCAACGCATACTCTTTAACCCAGTGAACCCGGCCTCCCAGCTGTCCCACCAACCAGGACCCTCCATCTCTTGGCTCTGGGTCCTCTCTCTGGCTCTTCCCCAGGCCTGGAACACTTTTCCTCCTCTGCTCTGCCCATTGGCCTCCCCGGCTTCCTCTGAGAAACAACTAAAATCCCACCTCCTCCAGGAAGCCTTCCCAATACCTCTTAATTCCAGTGCCTTGCTCCCCTTTATTATTTCCAATTTTATCCCATGTTGGTTAGTTTTGTGAATTCTTCCCCCCTCCCCTCCACCCTCCAGTACAAACTTGCTCACTTGTGGTTTCCCTCATTAGACTGTGATCTCCCTAAGGGCAGGGACTGTCTTTTGATTCTTTTTTGTATCCCAGCACTTAGCATAATGCCTGGTACACAGCAGAAGCTTAATAAATGTTTACTGACCAATGGACTGCAACAACGTAAATGGAAAGAACAACGAGGAATAAACTTAATATTACATGATTAGAATGCTCAAACTTGGCCCCAACCCTCCTTTCCCTGGAGAGGTGGGGGTATATGGGTATGGTATGTTGCACATACTATCAGAATAAGATGACGTGGGGCAGCTAGGGGGCGCAGTGGATAGAGCACCAGCCCTGAAGTCAGGAGGAACTGAGTGCAAATCTGGTCTCAGACCAAACAGTTGACACTTACTATCTGTGTGACCCTGGGCAAGTCATTCAACCCCAAATACCTTGCCAAAAAGAAGAAGAAAGAAGAAGAAGAAGAAGAAGAAGAAGAAGAAGAAGAAGAGGAGGAGGAGGAGGAGGAGGAGAAGGGGGTAGCTAGGTGGCACAGTGGTTGAAGCTCTGGCCTTGGAGTCAGGAGGATCTGAGTTCAAATCCGGACTCAGACACTTAACACTTACTAGCTGTGTGACCCTGGGCAAGTCACTTAACCCCCCCCCCGCCTCACCAAAAAAACCCCCAAAAAACAAAAAAAACAGAATACGATGACGTGTTGGTTAGTTTTGTGAATTCTTCCCCCCTCCCCTCCACCCTCCAGGCCTTTTTCAGTTTTTGTTTAAAGAAGTGGCTTTCTGAGAAATGAAAGTGATGGAAAAACAGGAAAAAAATTAAAATTAAAAAGTTTCAAATTAATTTTAGAAAAACTTTAAGCCATAATCACCATATTCACAACCAAGGGACTGATGTACATTCTGCAACTGCAAAATAACTTTCCAGCCTCTAAGCTGACATCCGACAATCTAGAACTGGTGATCTGCCACCTTGGCTTCCTTTTGACTCAAGATTATATAAAAATTCTTTTTTTTTTTTTGGCTAGGCAATAGGGTTAAGTGACTTGCTCAGGGTCACACAGCTATTAAGTGTTAAGTGTCTGAGGTTGGATTTGAACTCAGGTCCCTCCTGAGTCCAAGGCCAGTGCTCTATCCACTGTGCCACCTAGGTGCTCCAAGATTATATAAAAATTCTTAAAAACAACATCCATCTTTATAAGCACTAACATTTAAAAGCTCCACAAAAATCTTCTTTTGAGACTGAAAGCAGGGTAGGAATTACTGATGTTGGATACTACTGATTACTTTATATGCCTCCTGATGCTTTAAATAAATCCTCAGTGCATGTATCTACAGAAGAGTCAAAAAAAATCATCAAATTTAAAAATAGGTCATGTGCGGGGCAGCTAGGTGGCACAGCGGATAGAGCACCGGCCCTGAAGTCAGGAGGACCTGAGTTCAAATCTGGCCTCAGACCAAACACTTGACACTTACTAGCTGTGTGACCCTGGGCAAGTCACTTAACCCCAATTGCCTAAAAACAAACAAACAAACAAACAAACAAAAAAAAATAGGTCGTGTGAAAAATCCAGTTCTTTTTGATGTTTGGAAATGTCTCCCTAGGCTCCTCACCCAACCATTATTTGCATTTCTCTAATACAAAATGCTCACCTGTAATCACGAGGACGAGCAGCTTAGGGCTATCCTTGGTGTCGAAGAGGTCAGACCAGGGCCCACACTTCAGGACGTGGGTCACAACTCCGCCGCAGACCACAAACTCATCGTGCACCGGGACATCTTCATTCGCTGTCACATCCATTTCTAATTAGGAAAAACAAGAATGAAAAGGTTACTGAAAGAGAACGAGCTGGCCTCCAAGATAAGTCTGAATGACTCAGGTGGACAAAGGGGCCTAGGCAGGAGAAAGCCTTTCCAGCTGTCCCGATGGAGCTTCATGAAAACACTGGGCTACAAGGACAAGCTAAAAACAAAGGAAACACCAGCAGATTCTGGCGGGGAGACGAAGTGCAGCAGAAGGAAAAGGAGGGTTCAGAAGGCATCTCCATTCCCTTCCCTGCTTGAACGGCCATGAATAACGCACACTAGCATCATGGTCAACTGACCTGAAGACAGCGTACGCAGACGGCAGGTGAGCCAGAGAAACGGGAAGGTAGTGTGCACGAGATCCAACCGCCCTCCCGTGATGCTAACCACTATCCACTCGTGTTTACTCATGCCGCGAGGCTCGCTGACGGTCACTGAAGGCCTTCCTCCACCTCTCCTGCCATTACAAGGACACCAATAGAGAGCAGGGACTGTCTAACCAGAGGACCAGGCCTTCTTCTCCTTCTCTCACAGAATTCCACGACTTTAATCTTGCTCTCATCCCACCCCATCCATCCTCCCCTCAGCGGCCAAACTGGTCATCCGGAAGCCCCGGTGTGACCACATCACCCCCTACTCAGTCAACTGCAGAGGTCATCTCACTGGGCTGCACTGGTATCCGAAGCACTCAGCCTTGCACACAGTCAACACAGAATAAGTGCTTTACTCACTCATTCACTCACTCCCATCCTTGAGGGTCCTTTGAATGTTCTGATGAGCTTTCTTTCAACTGATTTTCTCTTTTACCGCTTCCATCTCCTGACCTCACTGGCCTCTTCTAGTCCCAACGAAGATCCCATTTTTTACTGGAAGCCTTCCCCAACCCCCCTTCATTTTAGTTCCTTCCCTGTATGAATTATTTCGTATTCGTCCTGTATATAGTCTGCATTGTATATATTTGTTTGCATGTTGTCCCCCCCATGAGACTGTAAGCTCCTTGAGGGCAGGGACTGGCTTTTGACTCTTTCTGTGCACAGAGCCTGGTGCACAGTAGGTGGTTAATGGATGTTTAGTGATTGATCCACATGAGACTATATTACCCACAACTGTCCATCACCACTCTTCATAAAGCTTTACAACCACAAATGTCATTTTACCTGGTATTGTCTCTGGCAGTCTGCAACCCCATGGCCTCCCTGTTACGGCAATTAACTTACATCAATTAAATTTTTGGAAGATATTCTGATTGTCTGCAATGAAGTCACCACTTCCCACGTTTGAAGGTCAGTATTTATTTCAGTAATGCTAGCTGACATTTACGGAGCCCTTTATGTTTTGCAAAGTGCTTCATGCATCTATTATCTCACTTGATCTTCATGAGAATCCTGGGAGGGCAGGCGCTAAGATTATTAATCCTCATTTAACAGATGAGTAAACTGAGGCAAAGAGGGGTGAAATGACCTGGGTAGAATCACCTAGCTAGTGAGTGCCCGAGGCAGTTTTGGCCTCAGGACTTCCTGACTCCAGGTCCCAGCACAGAATGGCCTCAGACAATTGGCTCCAAGTGAAGTTCCTTCAATGGCATGCTCTTTTTTTTCATTATTATTCTAGCTTCTTTTTAAAATAACTAATTCTGATCATAGTTTGGTGGGAGTGACGGTCTCAATGTACAGAGAAAGCTGATTCAAGGATAACTCCCATATCAACAAGTCTCCTCCTACATACTGAAATGTGATGTGTTTGTAAACACACACACAGTACAGCACAGTACAAAAGTGCAAAAGAATATTGAGATTGCAAAAATCTTTGCATTAAGTTTCCTTAATTTAGCACAAATATATAGAAAGAACCACTTTCCCATGGGTCAAAGGTTATGAATAAACAGTTCTCCAAAAAACCCTTCAAATATAAATAAACTGTTTCAAATCTCATTGGATAATAAGAGAAATGTACGCCGCCCCCCCCCTCAAAAAAAACCCAACCGAACTATGGGGCTTGATGTCAGACCCAGCAAAGAGTATGAAAGATGGAACCAGCCCCCCCCCCCACCATGGGAGGGGCTGAGGGGAACAGACCCAACCCTGCACTGTGGGCGCAGCTGTGAACTGGTTGGGCCAGTCTAGAAAAGAATTTAGAAAGACAGGAAAAAACTGTCTAAAATGCTCGTGCCTCTGACTGAGATCGGTACCGTCATATACACCATGGAAGTCAGAGACAGGGAAGAGGGGCTCCGTGTTTGCAATAGCCAAGGCCTGAGCCCAGAGATGGGGATGGCTCAACATGGCAGGCGACTGTAACTGCATCTTCCTGTGCGGCCTTAGATGAAGGGACGCAGCACAGAGAAGGTGACGGCCAGCCTGGGAGGGGCAGGAACACAGAGCGGCTCCATCCCTACTGTCCTCTGTTCTCTAGCACGACACTGACCTGTGAGCTGGCCAGCCAAGCATGGCACCATGAGCAGAGGACCCCACTGCTCTTGTGGAGTTCCACTCAGCTGGCCTGGGCAGCTACCGGTACAGCAGGTAGAGTGGGGGGCTCAGAGGTAGGAAGACCTGACCTGAAATCCTGCCTCAGGCACTTCCTAGCTCTGTGACCCTGGGCAAGTCCCTTAACCTCTCTCAGCCTCAGTTTCCTCATCTGTATAAAGGAGATAATAGTACCCACCTTCCAGGGTTGTTGTGGAGAGCAAATGAAGTAACCCAAGTAAAGCACTTGCTACAGCCCCCCCAAGTGCTAGCCATTACATTATGACCAACACTGAACGCAGGGGCTGCTGTGTGTCCAAGTCACCGTCGGAGTTACTGAGCCAAAAATGGGGCCCTTTTTCAAAAACAGGAAGAGCACAGAGTCTGCCAACTACAGACCAGTGAGATAAGAAAAATGCTAGGCAGTCTTATTAAAACAACAGTCAGCTGTGCCAGGGTTAGGTTCTAGCCAGGGTACCCCTTCCAGGTTCCAGACACATGCCCAGGGAGCTGACCTCGGAGGGTATCAATGACTGGGTGATGGGATAGGCGGCATTGGGGCACAGAGATGGGGGGATCATCACCACTCTGGGTGAGAGTCAGGATATCCTCAGATCCGGGTGGGCTGGAACCACTGACTGAGGCTAAGAAGATGAAGGCTTCCAGGGATCAATGTCAGGTCTGACACTGGGTTCATGGGAAAAAGAAGTGGGGGCCTTGGCAGACTGCAAGCCGAGAGCGAGTCAACACCGTGCTAGGGCCACCAAAAAAGCCTCCGAGACCTTGGGTGGGTCTGTTCTGATCATCGAGCTTAGAAGAGCTTTTACCTTTTTAAATACAATAAAACTTTATTTTAAAATGCAGAAACCATGGGGGGAAAGGCCTTTGTAACCCCAGAACAAGACCCTCAAGTTCTGGCCAAACGAGGACTGGAAGAAGACCAGGTGATCCTCGCCCTGGAAGACGCTCAGGGACGCGAGGGCGTACTCTGCAAATATCTGCAGCGCTGTCTCACGGAACAGGAAATGGGCTTCCACCGGGCCCCAAAGGAAAGAACCAAGGATAACACAGCAGCCAGGGCAGTTCCTACCCAGGACATCAAACTACCCAAAGAGGAAGGGGCTGCAGTCACTAGAGAGAGAAATGATTATTCATAACTGATATCTTGGGGAGATTCAGAGGTTTCTCCCTTTTCTAAAGTCCTCATTTTAAAACGGCCTGTTTTCTAAAAGGACACTACCGATAATAACGAGATTGCATTGACTTCCCTTGACGTTGGTCAGACCCTATCTAACCCTGCAAGGAATTTAATCTAGGGTGGGGAAGCACACAGAGTTCTCCTCTAGCCCCCTCTAGCTCGGTGGAGATATCTTTTTATCTAGACAGCCCAAGGCTGGGGATGGTCTGGAATGGAGATATTTTCTTTCTCCAAGGGTTACATTAGCCCCTCATTAGAAAGGCATATGAGCTGTGAGCCCACCGCCATCAATGCCTTTTGGTCTACAAGAGATGGCCACATGACCATCTTTATTAATAACCCGGGGGCTTTATTAATAAAATGACTAAATTACCTAGAAACTACATCTCCTGAACCTTTTTAACTGTCACACTTGTCAGAGATGTCCTTTTCTGGGGACACTCAGCCCAGTCTGGACCACCACACGGCAGGGGCTCTCAGGAGGGGCTTCATTTTCAGGTGTGGGGCCACTGAGGACCATTTCATTCTGAAGTTGTAAGAGTCTCTACTTGTCTGCATTAGAAAATGCTTTATCTACTTTCACTGTCAAATCACATCAAAATGCAGCTTGAGAAAGTCCATCACTAGGTCACTAGTCAAAGAATAAGCACTGATTAAACACCTACTGTGAGCCAGGCACGTGCTAAATGCTGGAGAAAGGCAAAGGTCCTCAAGTGTCACCCAAAAAGAAGTGGGGGGGGGTCTGATGAGGTCCAGAAGCCTTCTGCCGGGTGGGAAGCCTCCTTCCAGGGAGCAGATGGGAGGGCCTTTCCTCCTGGGCTGTCATTCAGCAGCTAAGGATCCCAGAATTTCTCAAATTCTGGAGGCTGTACACATGAGGTTTCTTTTTTCTTTCCAGTCTTTACATTTATTAATTCTTTTGTAAACCTGTCTCATTCAATCTCTTGCAAAAGGCACCAGTTAAACCTACACATTAACTTTCTAAGCATCTAATAAAACAGAGACCTCAATGTAATCTTTGAGCTTAATAACTAATAAATGCAGACCTTGTCCATTCATCTACAGGCTGGACTCCACCAGTGCAGAGATGCCTCTGATGCTCTGATGTGGAGCAGGTGTTTTGCTTCCCCTCTGAGGCTTTAAGCCACACAAAAGCATCATTTCTCAACATTCGATCTCTGCACAGACACGGTATGGCCTCTGCACAGTAGGGATGCAGTCGCTAGGTGGAGGAATGAAAGGGGGGCTCCATCAATCTAAAGTTCACACATTTCTGTAAAGGAGAATCAGAACGATCTCTAACAGAGACCTGAGAGATTTTATTTACAAGAGAA